TCGTCTGAAGTGCACACGATCAACGGTCAAGAACAACGTAAATGGGGTGTGTGCAGCGGGTTGAGGGACGAACAGTCACAACCCATCCCATCCCACTGAAGCCTTCACCCTCGCCGGGAATGTACAGTGAGATTGCTCCATCGTTTTCGATCCTCTCGTCCCTCTCAACCGTGACCTTAAACAAGTAAATTCCCTCTAACCCCTAATGCGATCTGATTGGATCATATTCCGCGATCTGCAGCGCTTGAAATCCCTCACTCCAACACGAGACTGTTTGATTACCGGCTTGTACGTTTTCTAATGCTCTTGGTGTTACGTCCAGTCTATCCGAGTACGGATGGCACTCCTGCTACACAGACGAAGTTCACTGGGCCTGCCTGAGCTCACAGCTGTAAGAAAGATGTGGTTTCTCGCTCGGGTTAGCTGGGCAAGCACCAGGTCCCTTGATGCGGCTGAACCATTGGACCGATCGATAAGTGAACCCAATCGGTCGTGCGATTTTCGGGCCGACACAGGAGGAGGATAGGTTTCGTGTCCGATGNTGTCTAACTGTTGGCAGAGAATCACCCCAAGAGAATCAGTTGTGGAGCTGTTCGCCACGTGGGAAATTCCGAATGGAAAATGCTCAAGCGATGATGACACTAGGCCAACGCTTGACTCGTAAGAGGTGTATGATAGTTCAAATCATTCTGTAAATACCATTTGTACTGTGAAATGTATCAGATGCATAAACCGATTGACAATCAATTGATCACCGTCTTTATCTCGCCCTAGCGTCCGAACAAGGAGGAGGTGTTTCAACGGAATCGCGATCGCTTCGACTGTGGACAGTAAGCGATGCTTGAACTGCTTCGATCTCACCCCGATGATCGTGTAGATGGGCCTGACTGACTCACTCATTCTGACACGATGTTCGGATTCGATCAAATGAGCCATGATTCCCGTACCCGGTTCTCGTCAATCCGTGACTAAGCCAACAGGGGTGGTTTCCTCGAATGCACAATGAATCACAGAATGATTTGAACTCTCATACACTCCTTACTGTGATGTCAAATTCATCCAAATACCGCGCAGCACCTGGGATTCTAATTTAATCGAAATCCAAACAGGGATAAGTCGGCTGTTATGAGATTGTTTGTCAATGGTTAGGGTTAGGGGTGTATTAGAGGGACCTGGCAAATTCTGTTTTGCAGTTAACTTGGTGGACTCTATGCTAAAGCGACTGCCTCCAATGCTCAAAAATGAAGAAGGGCAAATGGAACATGGATCAGATGAAAGTACACTACCTGTATGAAGTCTGTGAGTCATTTCAATAACTAAATCCCAGGTAGGTTTTCTGCTGTAACTTTGTTATTTTACAGTTGATGCGTCAACAACCATCGTCAAAATCGCCGACTCGGAAGTTAATGGCAGATGGATTGGCCGAGGAGGACCAACGGAATGGCCTCCAAGATCACCTGATCTGTCCCCCTTGAATTTCTTTCTATGGGGATACCTAAAGCGAACAGTTTATTCCCAAAAACCGAGAACGATCAATGAGCTTAAACAGAGTATTGTGGCGCAGTGCGAAAGTATTCCAACTGCTACCATTCGGAATGTGGAAGAAAACTATCTTCGCCGTATTTGGCCATGCAAGCAACAAGATGGAAAATATATGGAACAACTTTTATAAAATAAATATGCATTTTTCCACAATATTTGTTCTTTCTTTCTTTCTTTCAGAATTATATCTGCGACGTACTTAGCGAGATTGTTCAACGCGAAAACAACCAGTTGGGAAAGACTAGAAGAGTTTTGCGTGGGCCTACATTAGAGGATATTGTTGTCCACTACTAAGACAATTTCAAAGTTTTATTATCATTATCTGTTTACCGAACTCGCTTCGAAAAAT